GCTCTGCTTCTGATCCAGTTCACTGCTAATGTGCCAGGGAAGGCAGCTAAGATGCTTCAAGTGCTTGGGCCCCTGCCATCCACGTGCAAGAGCCAGATGGCATTCCAGGTTCCTGAATTCTGTCCAGCTGCAGCCATTTGGAGAGTGACCAGTGAGCGAGAGATCTCTTTTTCTCTCTTTCTCCCTCTGTCACTCTGCCTTTCCAAGTAAATAAAATCTTAATTTTTTTTTTAAAGAATGAATACAGGGGCTGGTGCCGCGGCACACTAGGTTAATCCTCCGCCTTGCGGCACTGGCATCCCATATGGGCGCTGGGTTTTAGTCCTGGTTGCTCCTCTTCCAGTCCAGCTCTCTGCTGTGGCCGGGGAGTGCAGTGGAGGATGGCCCAAGTGCTTGGACCCTGCACCGGCATGGGAGACCAGGAGAAGCACCTGGCTCCTGGCTTCGGATTGGCTCAGTTCCTGCCGTTGCGGCTATTTGGGGGCTGAACCAACAGAAGGAGGACCTTTCTCTCTGTCTCTCTGTCTCTCTCACTCACTGTCTCTCTGTCTCTCTCACTGCCTGTAATTCTACCTGTCAAAAAAAAAAAAAAGAGAACTTTTTTTTTTTTTCCGACAGGCAGAGTGGACAGTGAGAGAGAGACAGAGAGAAAGGTCTTTCTTTTCCGTTGGTTCACTCTCCAGTGGCCGCCGCGGCCGGCGCACCTCGCTGATCCGAAGCCAGGAGCCAGGTGCTTCTCCTGATCTCCCATGTGGGTGCAGGGCCCAAGCACTTGGGCCATCCTCCACTGCACTCCCGGACCACAGCAGAGAGCTGGCCTGGAAGAGGGGCAACCGGGACAGAATCCGGCGCCCCGACCGGGACTAGAACCCCGGGGCGCCGGCGCCGCAGGCGGAGGATTACCTAGTGAGCCACGGCACTGGCCGAGTATATACGCTTGATGACAGCATTTAAACTAAGGATTCTAGTGGTAAAAATGTGAGGGACATCCGTGTAAAAATGGACTAAGGACAAACGGAAAATACTAAACTGAGTGTTAGGAAACCTGGCATTTAGAACCGTGGCATTGACGGACGAGTAAATCTTAACAGTTTTTAGGTCCCCCCCACCCCGCCCCGTGTCCTTCAGTTTAATAATGTGCTGAATGCATTACGCATCCTCTTCATATTAACAATAGAAATGAAGAGCTCCAGGAAATTACGCCTGATCCAAGCCCACTGTGTCTGGCAGAATCGGGACCCAGATTCTCATACACACCTTGCAGCCCCGCATGGCGGCAGTAAGGAGCCACCATGTGCACCGCGCCTAAGGACGCGCCAGCTGTTTCCTTCTGCGCCCGGCCACCGGCGTCTGCCGTCGGCAATCTTTACACTGCCCCAGAATTCCGTGCCCTTCCACACTCCATGGACTAGAACTATTTCTTTCTGCATCTGGTGCGAGAAGTAGTGGGGGTAGGGGGTAAGGAGAGTGGGTAAACGTTCAGAGATCCGAAGAGAATGGCACTGGTCCTCCATCTGCTGGTTTACTCCCCAAGTGGCTACAACAGCTAGAGCTGGGCCTATCTGAAGCCAGGATCCAGGAGCTTCCTCCGGTTCTCCCACGCGGATGCATGGAACAGCATCTTCTGCTGCTTTCCCAGGCCATAGCAGAGAGCTGGATTGGAAGTGTAAGAGCTGGGACTTGAACTGGTGCTCATATGGGATGCTGTCACTGCAGACAGTGGCTTTACCTGCTATGCCACAGCACTGGCCCATGCTGTTTTTTTTTTTTTTTTTTCCCCAATGAATAAACAGCATACTGAATCTTAATAACTTTTGTTCCTTAATTTTCCAGTCTTTGAAAGAACAATAATAAATTTTTAAAAGGCTGGGTTTCATGTAAGCAGACCCATTGAGAGCAGTTGCAGTCAATATATGATAGCCTGACAGCAAAGAAGCGAACAAAAAACAAGATGCATAGGGGCCCATGACTATTCCCATGTTGTGGTGCTGTGTTTAGCTGCCTCCTGCTACACTGGTATCCCATAGTGCACCTGGGATAGCAGCAGAAGATGGCCCAAGTGCTTGGACCCCTGCTACCCATGAGGGAGACCCAGATGGAATTTGAAACTCTAGCTTCAGCCTGGCCTAGTCTTGGCCTTTGCAGCCATTTGATAAGTGAAGCAGTGGGTGGAAGATACCTCTGTCATTCTGCCTTTCAAATAAATGAAATTTAAAAAAAGTAAAGAAGTAAGCATAAAAATTCCAAATGCATGTATTTGGAGGTTATTTATTATGGAGTCAAACAGTCTTTCACATTTTAGTATTTTGAGAAATTGACCTTAATAATAATGTAAGCACATAAAAAGTGCTATTCATTTTATCAAAATATATAATAGTCATAACAATGAAGTAGTTTATACTTTGTTCAGCTTGAGAAATAGTACATAATTAATATAGTGTCAAAATTATTTATACATAATTTGTATATACTACATTGTATCAATTTTAAGTGCACAATTTAATTCATTTTGAAAGATAGTCACCCATGTAATCATCACCATTAAGGTATAGAACTTTTGATCACGTCAGAAAGTTCTCTCATTCCCCAACACCTTCCCTCTGATCCTCAACCAGCCACTGATCTACTTTCTGATTTGTTTTGCTTTTTCAAGAATTATGAGTGAAAGGGATCATACAGTATATCCTTTTGTGCCTGGCTTTTGAGATTTCTCTGTGTTAACTTTATTAGAATTTCTTGTTGTCAAATATTACATTGTATGTATTTAGTGTAAGTGGATATTTGGATAGTTCTAGTTTTTGGCTATTAGAAATTAAGGTACTATGAACATTCATGTATGTCTTCATTTATCTTGGATTTAAGTACCTGTGAATAGAACTGCTAGGTGTTATACAAAGTAAACATATATAAGAATTCACAGGTCCGACGCTGTGGTGCAGCAGGTTAACACCCTGGCCTGAAGCGCTGGCATCCCATATGGGTGCTGGTTCATTAACACCCTGGCCTGAAGCGCTGGCATCCAATATGGGTGCAGGTTTGAGACCCGGCTGTTCCACTTCCAGTCCAGCTCTCTGCTATGGCCTGGGAAAGCAGTAAAGATGGCCTAAGTCCTTGGGCTCCTGCACCCGTGTGGGAGACCTTGAAGAAACTCCTGGCTCCTGGCTTCAAATTGGCGTGGCTCCGGCCATTGTGGCCAATTGGGGAGTGAACCAGCCGATGGAAGACCTCTTTCTCTTCTCTCTGCCTCTCCTCTCTCTGTGTAACTCTGACTTTCAAATAAATAAATAAATCTTTTAAAAAAAGAATGAGACTCAACATCTCATTCTTGAAAAAAAAAAATGAATTTGCCAAACTTGTTTCCCAAAACAGTTGTACCATTTTACAGTTTTCACCAGCAGTGTTTCAGTGTCTCATTGCTCTATGTCAATTCTTCAGTGTCTTACTGCTTGCTAACCTTTGATATTTTCAGTCTTTTTAATTTTAACAATTCTAGTGGATGTATGGTTGTGTTATGTGTTAAATTATTTGTATCACAAGTATCCAATATTAAGAAAAAGTTTAGAGTTGGATGGATGGTGGTGGTAAACTTTATTATTCATGAGACTTGACAATCCAGAACAATTCTTTATGCTAAAACTTGTATATAATTGAACTTTCAACATAATGTAGAATTGCATTGTGTATTTTTCTGTTCAGCTCTATTGTAATCTTCTGTTAAGAGTAAGCAAATAGTTCTAGCTGCTTAATAGAGTATTAGATATTTTGACATTTCATTGTTTTTAACAATATGATCTGAATTTTACCTATAAAGTTTACATATTTAAAAGGTGGTATATAATGGTAGGGAAAAAAGTTTCCTAATGACAATGAAAAACTGTTCTAGTGATAATGGTAGCCATCACTCACTGAGTACTGAATACATGGCAGACACTATGCTAAGGGATGTATAAATATTATCTCATTCGATTCTTAGAAGGTAAAGGTGTTACCCATTTTAGATATTATTTCCATTTTAGAAAGAAGGTTTTTTTTTAATTTAGTAAATATAAATTTCCAAAGTACAGCTTATGGATTACAATGGCTCCCCCTCCCCCCATAATTTCCCTCCCACTCGCACCCCTCCCATCTCCCGCTCCCTCTCCCATTCCATTCACATCAAGATTCATTTTCAATTATCTTTATATACAGAAGATTGATTTAGTATATATTAAGTAAAGATTGCATCAGTTTGCACCCACACAGAAACACAAAGTGTAAAATACTGTTTCAGTACTAGTTATAGCATTACTTCACATTGGACAACAAATTAAGGACAGATCCCACATGAGAAGTAAGTATACAGTGACTCCTGTTGTTGACTTAACAATTTGACACTCTTGTTTATGGCGTCAGTAATCTCCCTAGGCTCTAGTCATGAGTTGCCAGGCTATGGAAGCCTTTTGAGTTCGCCAACTTCAATCTTATTCCAACAGGGTCATAGTCAAAGTGGAAGTTCTCTCCTCCCTTCAGAGAAAGGTACCTCCTTCTTTGATGGCCCCATTCAGAAAGAAGGTTATTAAGTAATTAAAACAAAATGTATAATTTTAAAAAATTTGAATTGATAAGTTGATTAAAGGAAGGATAATATAGGAAAGTAGAATTTCTTAAAAAACTAGTCACAGATTCTAAAGTCTTTTAAATTGATATTATATAATATTATTATATATACTATATATTATATTGGGTTATTGAAAAATGAAACTATTTCAAAGAATTCACTGATCTCTGTAGTTTCCACAGTAAGTTATAATTTAACTTTTGGTCTTTCTTGTAATTTTTTGCCTCATAATGTAAAATTTGTGTATTATTAATGTAGAGTGAAATGTTTTCAAGTATAATCCATCATAAGGGTTTGGAGACACGTGTATTTTGTTATGCTGAATAAGAAAAAGAAGCATACACTTTAACACTGCCAGAGCATAAATGACTTGATGAAATATTTGAACTTTTTTCATTCCCAGGAAGGTTATATTCAAAAGAAAAAGGAATTGTGGGGAATCTGTGTCTTTATTGCAGCAGTTGACCTCGATGAGATGCCATTCACTTTTACTGAGCTACAGAAAAACATAGAAATAAGGTAAAAATTCTTATATAAGCCTCTGCCATTGAAGAAAACTGCCTCTGGACTTTCCTTATATAGACTTTAGAAAATTAGTGAGAAACTCTACAATTAAGCAAAATGTAAAGGAGTTGGGTCAAATAGTGATCTCTCATTCTATCTTGGAGCCCTCAATGAAAGAAAATTTTTGCTGTTTCTTAAGAATGTAGCAGTTTTGTCCTAGGAATATTTTTGTCTCTCTATCTGTAAACTTTCTTATTTGTAGCAGTTGATAAGTTGGAAACAAAAATAGGAATTTATAAAGATATAAATTTTTATTATTAAAACTTTATGAAAGTAATCTAGGTTTCTCTTAAAGGAGCTTAGATAAGATTGAAGTTTAAGATTTTTTTTTAACATAGTAGATGGTATAATTACCTAATATTTCAGACTTGAGTATATACTCCAATACTTGGAGTATTGATCAAATTATTTGATCAAAAACTTGATCAAATAATTACTTAATAAATATTTGTTGTTGACTTTGTAAGCCGTAGGAGAGTTTGCTAATTTGTTTCTAGTGACTTATGAATTTTATCTTGCGAAAACTTCCAGGACTTGCAGTCATTTCCTTTGTAGGTATTTACAAAATGTAACCATAAATAATTTTACCAAATAAGTGGTTGTAGTATTCCTTTTTGAAGAAAGCTGTGTAATTTCCAATCAACTTGACTAGTAATCAGTATGTGAGATGCAGTGCTGTCTTTAATGCTCTATTGAAAAGCATATGTGTTGATGTTTGAAATAAGTTAATTTTTATAGGGAACAATGATTGATTTAAAGTCATTATTGAAGTATCTTCAGAATTGTAATCAGCTTTCCTTTTCCCTTTTCAAAAAAACTCAGTCCCATAACCATTGGTCAAGCAAAGAATATCACTATGTTTATCTGTGGCAGGGGAGTGCCATGGGGCCCAGGAAAGATGGCAAAGTAGAATGAGGAAGTTATCCATACTGGGGGACATAGGCAGTGTCAGGGAGCAGCATCAGAGCATACACAGGGTGTGCCAGCAGCTGGTGTGAGGAGTAATATCAAACAGGTGAGGAGAGCCTGGTGTGGGAAGTCAGAGCCCTCCCTTGGTGAGGAAGACGTCCTTGTAAAGGAGGTATGGATGCCATCCAGAATAGGATGTCAGTCTGAACAGAAGAGTAGAATGTTCATGTGGAGGAGTGGCTGGTTGTAGAGATGGAAGACCATTTCTTGCAGGGGAATTGATTAAATGAGTAAGTAAATTAAAGATACATTGATTCTAAGTTTCTCACTGTCAGAGAATTTTAGGAAGGTAAGCACTGGAATGAACCTTATAATTCTGTGTTGGAATTGGTAAATGGATGGGATCTCATGGTTTTTAAAACACACAGATTTGATATAGAAATAAACATACATGTATGGTCCCTTCATGATCTTTTTTTTTTTCTGTATTCTCAACTATAAACAGATACAAGCACAGGTATATAGACATAGGAGTGTATGTTGAAGACTAGCTGATTTTTTCTTCAAATTCTAGTACAATGCAAAAAAGTAATTCCTTTCAAAGAATATAATAGTGATTTTGTATAGAACTAATAATCTTTTGAATTGATATGTCTGTACTTTGAAAATGAAATAAAATTCAAACATTACTTGTTTTTTCTCTATTTTTTATAGTGTCTATAAATTTTTTGACTTACTAAAAGAAATTGATACCAGTACCAAAGTTGATAATGCTATGTCAAGATTGTTGAAGAAATATAATGTTTTGTGTGCACTCTACAGCAAATTAGAAAGGTAAAGTAAAAATTTTATTAGGGCTATACCCTGATTTTTCATGTCATTGTTGATAGTTAGAGTCCACTTGGAAACTGTTACATAATTAGTGAAGTTATTAAGTATTGTTACCTCTTAGACTTGTCCCTTGTCCTATTAGTTTCTTTTTTTCTTTCTTTGAAGGGCAGAGCAACAGAGGGAGGGAGACCAGAAACAAATCTTTCATCTGCTGATTCTGTCCCCAGATAGCCACAGTAGCCTGCTCTGGCTCAGGCTGAAGCTAGGAACCAAAATTTCCATCTGGGTTTCCCACTTAGGTGGCAGGGACCCAAGCACTTGGGCCATCCTTTGATGCTTTCTCAGGTGCAGAACAAGAAGCTGGATTGGAAGCAGGGCAGTTGGCTCTCCAATATGGGACTCAGGTGACGCAAGCATTGGCTTAACTTGCTGTGCCATAGTGCCTGCCACCAAGTTTCTTATTGTTTCTTAGCTTTCTTATTTATTTAGTCATAGGCATTCTGAATGCATCCTCCAAAATTAAACGTTTTAGGGTCTTTACACATCTCTTATTTGTTTTTACAAACTTTAAGTTTGGTACTTGTTTTAGTTTTATCTGCTGGAAGACGTACAATTTAAACTTCTTCTCATGCTGCTATTTTAGTTTAGAAAGAAAAAAACATATTGGCAGTGAAAAGCAGATGTGACGTGTACTATCAAGTTATAATTTGTACTTCCATGGTCAGTCTACAGAGGTTTTTACTATTACTGTTCAACTGGAAGAATAAAAAAAAAAGCTTGGGTTGTTTTTTTGTATCTCTCATTCAAACTGTAGCCCTTATTATGCCATGTCCCTATAATTATGTTTGTTTTGGAGCTCATTTCATCTGGGTAAGAGAATATGCAAGTTAATGTTGTAGGCTAAATAAGCAATTATGTAATAGGGTGGTAAAAGGAGAAGGGAAAAGGTGCATATTTAGATATTCTGGAGAGAATAGAGACAGAGCTGAAATGAGGCATCTTCTTTGAAGATGTATATCTTTTTTCTTCTTCCCTTCTTTTTTGTTGATATCATTAAAACTTCAGAGGTGTGCTGGAGGGAGAGGAAAATGGAGGGAGAAACTTAAAAGTTGGCCTGAACTTTTGAAGGAAGGTTTTTTTCTTGGTCTTGTTTTTTATTTTTAATATGGTAGTGTTAGATTTTTTTTTTTTAACTTTCTTGATGATAGAAGCTTTTTGCACAGAACAAAAAAAGGAATGTTTTTATTACAAAAAAAAATTGCCTCAGCAGTTTGCATAAGAATTGTGAAATAATTATAGAATACTTGAAAAACTCAGAAAGGCATAAATAAGAAAATACGCAGGGCCGGCTTTATGGCATAGCGGGTAAAGCCACTGCCTGTGGTGCTGTCATCCCATAGGGGCTCTGGTTTGAGTCATGGCTGCTCAGCTTCCAATCCAGCTCTCTGCTATGGCCTAGGAAAGTAGTGGAAGATGGCCCAAGTCCTTGGGCCCCTGCACCTGCATGGGAGACCTAGAAGAAGCTTCTGGCTCCTGGCTTTGGACTGGCCCAGCTCCAGCTGTAGTGGTCATTTGGGGAGTGAACCAGCAGATGGAAAATCTCTCTTTCTCTGCTTCTGCTTCTCTGTAACTCTGCCTTTCAAATAAATAAACAAATCTTTAAAAAAATTAAAAAAATATGAATCAACCAAAATTTCAAATCTGGAGATAATCACATGTATTATAGTATGTTTCTTTCTTTCTTTCTTTTTTAACACCAAATAGCTCACATTGCATATATAATTTCTTTGTCTTTTTATTTGAAAGGCAGAGAGACAAAGGCAGATAGACAAAAGATCTTGCATCTGGTTTACTCCCTGAATGCCTGCCGAAAGCCATGACTTTCTAAATTACTTTCTGTCCTTTGAACTTATTTATAACTGTTTACTTAATATCTTTTCTTTTTAAAATATTTATTTATTTGAAAGGCAGAGTTACAGAGAGGCAGAGAGAGAGAGAGAGAAAGAGGTCTTCCATCTGCTTTTTCATACCCCAAATGGCTGCAATGGCCAGAGCGGACCCAGTGCAAAGCCAAGAGCCAGGAACTTCTTCCAGGTCTCCCATGAGGGTGCGGGGGTCCAAGCACTTGGGTCATCTATCTCCTTCTCCTTCTCCTTCTCCTTCTCCTTCTCCTTCTCCTTCTCCTTCTCCTTCTCCTTCTCCTTCTCCTTCTCCTTCTCCTTCTCCTCCTTCTCCTTCTCCTTCTTCCTCCTCCTCCTCCTCCTCCTTCTCCTCTTCTTCCCCCTCTCCTCTTCGTCCTCCTCCTCCTCCTCTTCGTCCTCCTCCTCTTCCTCCTCTTCCTCCTCTTCCTCCTCTTCTTCCTCTTCTTCCTCTCCTTCTTCCTCTTCTTCCTCCTCCTCCTCTTCTTCCTCCTCTTCCTCTTCTTCCTCCTCCTCCTATTCTTCTTCTTCTTCTTCCTCCTCCTCCTCTTTTCTTCCTCTTCTTCCTCTTCCTCCTCTTCCTCCTCCTCCTCCTCCTCTTCTTCTTCTTCCTCTTCCTCCTCTTCCTCTTCCTCCTCCTCTTCTTCTTCTTCTCCTCCTCCTCCTCCTCCTTCTCCCGCTCCCCCTCCCCCTCCTCCTCCCCCTCCTTCTTCTTCTTGACAGTGAGAGAGACAGAGAAAAAGGTCTTCCTTTTCCATTGGTTCACCCCTCAATGGCTGCTGCGGCCGGCGCACCGCGCTGAACTGAAGCCAGGAACTAGGTGCTTCTCCTGGTCTCCCATGGGGTGCAGGGAGGGCCCAAGGACTTGGGCCATCCTCCACTGCAGTCTCAGGCCACAGCAGAGAGCTGGACTAGAAGAGGGGCAACCGGGACAGAATCCGGCACCCTGACCGGGACTAGAACCTGGGGTGCCAGCGCCGCAGGCGGAGGATTAGCCTAGTGAGCCGCGGCACTGGCCTTGGGTAATTTTCTACTGCTTTCCCAGGCAGAGAGCTGGATTCCAGAGATTCCAGAGAGCTGGATTGGAAGTGGAGCAGATGGGTTTCCAACAGGTGCCCATATGGGATGTTGGGATTGCAGGCTGTGATTTTACCTAGTAAGATGCAGTGCTGACCCCTACTTAATTTCTTGAGCTTATCCCAAGAATATGATCCTAAGTAAAAAAAAAAAAAGTCTTTTGAAATTTTTGTCACACTAATTATACCCCTGAAAAATGAGAAAATGTTTATTCACAACTGAAGTTAAACAGTAAAATATTGTAAATATAGCCTAAACACAAAATAATATAAATATGAAATAAAATTTGATTGGGGGAGTGGCTAGCACTGTGGCATGTGGTTAAGCTGCTGTTTGTGATGCCAGCATCCCATATCAGAGTGCCGACTGGACTGGAGTCCTGGATGTTCCTTTTTTTTTTTTTTAATATTTGTTTATTTATTTGAAAGGCAGAGTTGCAGAGAGGCAGAGGCAGAGAGAGAGACATCTTCCATCCACTGGTTCACTCCCCAAATGGACATGATAGCCAGAGCTGGGCTGATTTGAAGCCAGGAGCTTCTTCTGGGTCTCCATGCGGGTGCAGGGGCCCAAGGACTTGGGCCATTTTCTGCTGCTTTCCCAGGCCATAGCAGAGAGCTGGATCGGAAGTGGAGCTGCTGGGACTTGAACTGGTGCCCATATGGGATGCTGGCACTGCAGCTGGTGGCTTTACCCACTACGCCACAGTGCCAGCTTCCTGGATGTTCATCTTCCTATCCAGCTTCCTGCTGATGAGCCTGAGAAGGCAGTGGAAGATGGCTCAAGTACTTGGGCTTCTGACATCCATGTGGGACACCTAGATCTGGGGTCCACCATATGGCGAGTGAACCAGTGGATGAAAGTTATCTATGTGTGTGTGTGTGTGTGTGTGTGTGTCTGTTGCTCTGCTTTCCAAGTAAATAAATAAATCTTAAAAATTGTTTTGATGAGGAATAATAACAATATGAAAAAGTACTTCTAATGTTGCATAAATAAAACAAGATCTATGATATGACAGTTTACAGGGGAAAAATCTAGACTAGTTTTACATAGAATGAAATGACTAGACAGAAGTTTGTTGAAATTTTAACTGAGATTTTATGTGAATAGCTTACAGTTCTAAGGAGGATATAATAAAGTAAGCAAAAATTTCTCTAAGCCAATTTTAAAGGAAATTCTATTGCTTAAAGATTGATATTTAAAAATCTATAATCATCAGTTTATTTCTGAGTATAGAAATTTGGGGCTAATTTGGTAGGATTGATTTTAGAGTATAGTCTTTATTTTCTTTCCTGTTATAATAATTTTAACTGGATACTTCCAGGTTTTTTGGCTCTGCTTTATGTGATGAGATCAGAAATCTGATATTAGTTTTGGTTTTACCTCATTCTTTAACCCATCATACCTCCTACTGATGGATATTAAGGGAGAGTCAGAAAACCAAGTTATAAAGTAGAATAACCTGATGGATAGTAGCAGATTTTATAGTCTCCTTTATTTAAGTGGTTTGCTGTCTCCTCCCATATAAACAGAGAGCTAAGATCAATAAATAAACCATATAAGCCAACATTTTTTTAACATTCAGATTCATGTTAAGATTCCATTATATAATGTATATTTTTTTTGTGTCTGTATTTTGGGTTAGTAAGTAGTTTGGAAGGATGGGGAGGAGAAGGTTATAGAGAATTATTTAGATGATAGACAACCCAGATGATAAAGTAGGAAAAGAAAATTGAACTTGAATATTTTAACTATTACATGTTGAAAATGAAAGCTTTAGGGGCCGGCATTGTGGCTCAATGGGTTAAGCCCCCATCTGTGATCCTGGCATCCCATATGAGCAGCAGTTCAGTTTGAGTCCTGGCTTCTCCACTTCTGATCCAGCTCCCTATTAATGTGCCTGAGAAAGTAGCAGAAGATGGCTCAAGTGCGTAGGCCTCTGCCACCCAGATGAGAAACCTAGATGGAGTTCCAGGTTCCTAGTTTCATTCTGGTCCAGCCCTAGCTGTTGTAACCATTCAGGGAGTGAACCGGTGGATGGAAGATCTTTCTCTCTCACGCTATATCTCTACCTTTCAGATAAATAAAATCTTAAAAAAAAAGAAAGAAAGAAAGCTTTTAGGGCCAGTGCTGTGACGTAATGGGCTAAACTTCCACCTGTGGTGCCAGCATCCCATATGAGTACTGGTTCATGTCCTGGCTGTTCCACTTCTAACCCAGCTCTCTGTTAGGCCTGGGAGAGCAGTATAGGATGGCTCAAATGCTTGGGCCCTTGCACATGCATGGGAAACCCGGAGGAAGCTCCTGGTTCCTGGCTTCAGATCAGCCCTGCTCCGGCTATTGTGGCCATTTGGGGAGTGAACCACCGGCTAAACTACCTTTTTCTCTGTCTCTCCTTCTCTCTGTCTGTAACTCTACCTCTCAAATAAATAAATAAATCTTTTTTTTAAAAAATGAAGCTTTTAAAAACTACATAGAGAATTCTGAAGTTTTTATTTCTGAAGAATTCTGAAGCTTTTATTTCCCATATTTTTCCTAAAGTCCACATAAACACTGGTATTTCCAGATTAGTAAGTAGCACACATGACTAAAGTTCCCAAAGAATTCTCTGGAAAACAACAGTCTGATCTGATACCTCACCAGAAAAGGGAGGCTGTAGCAGAGCTCATTGAAGATGAGAATGGAGACTTTTGAGTCAAACAGATTTGACTTCAAGTCTGGGCTCCAGCATATACTGGGTGATCTTGCGCAAGTGAGTTACCTAATTGTAGTGCTTAGTTTTCTAATGTGTAAATGGAATTAATGGTAGTACCTACCCTGTTAAGTTTTCTGATATATTAAATAATACATACTGATGAGTTTAGTGTCTGGTATAAACTCTACATGAAAATTAACTTTTTAAAACAAAAAATTTCTGCCTAATTTGGGAAATACTACATACCATTCCCATATAGTAAAATCTATAGAACTTTATTGAGTTCAGCATTTCCTAAACTTATTAGATTACTCATATGTTTAGTATGAAAAAGTCATACATGGACTTCAAAAGGTTTTGCAACAAAATAAGTTTATCTTTTAATTATGTTTTCCATGAACTTTTTAAATTATATATATTTATATGTATTCAATTAAAATCTTATGAAAGTATTTTGTGATTTAAGAGACTTTACACTATCAACTTTTCCTGAAAATACACTAAGAAACTAAAACAAACATTAAGGATTAGTACTGGGTTGTTTTTTTTTTTTTTAAAGAGTTACTTTATTTATTCGAAAGACAGCGTTAGAGAGAGAGGTAGAGCCAGAGAGAGAGATTTTCTATTCTGCTGGTTCACTACCCAAATGACTGCAATGGCCAGAGCTGAGCTGATCTGAAGCCAGGAACCAGGAGTTTCTTCCAGGTCTCCCATGTGGGTGCAGATGCCCAAGGACTTGGGTCATCTTCTGCTGATTTCCCAGGCCGTTAGCAGAGAGCTGGATACGAAGAGGAGCAGCCAGGACTTGAACCCATATAGGATGCCGGCACTGCATTCTGGGGCTTAAACTCACTGTGCCACAGTGCCGGCCCCAGTACTGGGTTTTATGTTAGGTACTGGGGATACAAAATCATGTGACATGATCATCAAGAAGTTATAGTGGTCCAGTGTTGTGGTGCAGT